TATTTACCCTCCATATCTTTGTATGTTTTTCAGTTTTTTTCTTGTGATTGACTTCTAGTTTCACAGCATTGTAGTCATAGAAAATGCTTGATATGATTTCAATCTTCTTAAATTTACTGAGACTTGTTTTGTGTCCTAACATGTGCTCTCCCCTAGAATATGTTCCATGTGCATTTGTAAAGAATATGTATTCTGCTGCTTTAAGTTGAGATGCTCTGAAGATACCAATTAAATCCATCTGATATAGTGTGTCATATAAGGCCATTGTCTCCTTGTTGATTTTCTGTCTGTAAGATCTATCTATTGATGTCAGTGGACTGTTAAAATCCCCCACTGATCAGCACAGGAGTTTTGAACTGCTCCATTTCCAATCTGGGCCAGTTCACCCTTCCTTAGGCAACCTGGTGCCCCCCCCCCCCTTCTGGGAAGTCACCATATTGATGCTGAACTTAGTGCAGACACCCAATCAGAATAGCGCACTGCAGCCCAGAACTCCTGGGCTCAAGCCATCCTCCTGCCTCAGCCTCCCGAGTAGCTGGGACTACAGGTGTGCACCACTGCGCCTGGCAGAATCCCCTACTATGACTGTATTACTTTCAGTCTTTCCTTTTATGTCCATCAAGAATTGCTCCACATATGTAGGTGCTCCTATGTTCGGTGCATATATGGGATATATTGTCTCTTGGATTGCTTTTTATTGTTATGTAGTGGTTTCCTTTTCCACTTACTATAGCCTTTGTTTTAAAGTGCATTTTATCAAATATAAGTATTGCTTCTGCACCCTTTTTTAAAAATTTCCATTTGCATGAAATACCTTTTTCTATCCCCTTACTTTTAATCTGTACCTATTTTTCATTCTGAGTTGGGCCTTTTGTTGACAGCATATATTGGGTTCTTATTTTCTGATCTATTCAGCTACCCTGTATCTTTTGATCGAAGCATTCACATTTTAAAGTGATTATTGATAGGTATGTATTTATGGCCATTTTATTCTTTTAACTATGTTCCTCTGTCTTTTCTCCCTTCTCCTTCTTAAAGCAGGTCCTTTAATATTTCTTGTAATATTGGTTTGGCGGCAACAACTCCTTTAGCTCTTTCTCATCTGGGAAGATCTTTATTTCTTCTTCAATTTTAAATAACCTGCTGGGTAAAGTAGTCTTATTGTAGGTCCTTGCTTTTCAGCACTTTCAATATTTCATACCAATTCCTTTTGGTCTAAAAGGTTTCTGTTGAGAAATTAGCTGACAGTCTTATGGCAGCTCCCTTGTAGGTAATTATCTGTCTCTTGTGTCTTTTAAGATTCTTTGTCTTTAACCTTTGCCATTTTAATTATGATATGTCTTGGAGTAGGCCTCTTGGCATCCACTTTGTTTGGAATCTTGTATTTCCTGGAATGTGTGTCTTTTTCCTTTGTCACCAAATTAGGAAGTTTTCCGTCATTGTTTCTTCAAATAGGTTCTTGATCCCTTGCTCTGTCTCTCTCCTTCTGGTACTCTTATGATGTGGATGTTGTTATACTTCATGTTGTTCCAAAGTCCCTTAAATTATCCTCATTTTTTAATTTCTTTTTTTCTTTTTGCTGCTCTGATTGGGTGGTTTTTTTCTACCTTGTCTTCCAAATCACTGATTTGAACCTCTGCTTCACCCAACCTACTGTTTATTCCTTTTCAGTATATTCTTCATTTCAGATATTGTGTTTTAAATTTCCAATTGGCCTCTTTTTAATGGTTTCTGTGCCTTTTTTCATGTTGTTGAGAATACTTATAACCATTACTTTGAAATCTGTATTTGATAAATTGAGATGATAAACTGTACATAATATTTTCTCCTATTGGCTTTTTATCTGGAGAGTTCTCCTTTCATTTGGGACCCATCTCCCCATTTTTTAAAACATTTTATTTATCTATCTTTAGAGGGGAAGGGAAGGAGAGAAGGAGAGAAATGTCAATGTATGGTTGCCTCTCATGAGTCCCCTGCTGGGAACTGGCCTGCAACCCAGGCATGTGCCCTGACTGGGAATCGAACCGCAATTGTGCGGTTTGCAGGCCCGTGCTCAATCCACTGAGCTACACCAGCCAGGGCCCGTCTCCCCATTTTGGCTGCCTCTTTGTGCTTGTTTTTATGTATTAGATAAATCTGCTACAATTCCCAGTCTTTGTGGGGTTGACTTACATAGTAGGCATTTTGTCGATTCAGTGTTGCAGTCTCCTTGATCACCTGAGCTGGGTGCTCTGGGAATGTCCCTTGAGTGGATTCTGCAGGCCTTCCTGTTGTAATTGAGTCTTGATTGCTATTGGCCCATTTGTACATGGGATCGACTCTCCAGCTGGTGTGAGGCTCATCCCCAGCCACGGTGTGCAAAGTGCTGACCACATGAGGCAGAATTCACCTCTGCAGTGTTGGGAGCCTGCTAAGATCTCACTCTGAATATGCTGCTTATAAAGCTTACTGGATCCTGCTTTGAAGTTGTCTGAAGCTGGCCACTGTGTGTGTTGGTTCTGGGCCTCTTGGGAGGTATGCTGGTGCAGACCAGTGAAAGATGCTGCCTGTAAGTGTCCTTCAGCAACTGGTTTAGAGGTACAAGTGGTACACAGTTTGCGGCTACCTCTTCTGGATCTTGGGTGTGTTCAGAAAGGACCATGCTGGTTACCAAGTCATGCTTTTACCAGCACTAGGTCTGAGAACACATTCATCTGCCGGCTGCTTGTTAGGTTCAGTTACCCTTGCATGTGGATTCTGATACTATGCACAAGCCTGACAGCTTGTCAGTGAATTTCTTGACATGACACCAAAGTACATGCAACAAAAAAAAACTGAAGAAGTGAACTACATCAAACTAAAAAGCCTGTGCACAGCAAAAGAAACAGTCAACAAAGTGAAAAGGCAACCTGTGAATGGGAGAAAATATTTGCAAATGATGTATCTGATAAGGAATTAATATCAAAAATATATACAGAACTCATGTAGCTGAGCAAAAAAACCAATCTGATTATAAACTAAGAAGAGGAACGGAACAGATATTTCTATTCAGATGGCCAACAGGTACATAAAAAGGTGCTCAACACCACTAATCATCAGGGAAATGCAAATTAAAACCACAAGGAGGTATCATCTCACACATGTTAAAATGGCTATCACCAAAATGACAAGAGATAACAAGTGGTGGTGAAGATGTGAAGAAAAGGGAACTTTGTTGCATTGTTGGTAGGAATGTAAATTGGTGCAGCCATTGTGACAACAGCATGGAGTTCCTCAAAAAATTAAAAACAGAACTACCATGTGATCCAGTAATCCCACTTCTGGGTATATATCCAAGGGAAATTAAATCACTGTGTCAAAGAGATATCTGCAACCCCATGTTTATCACAGCTATGTTTATAGAAAAACAACAGCCAATACAGAAAACCAACCTAAGCATCCATGGATTGATGAATGGGTAAAGAATATGTGATAAACACACACACAATAGAATATTATTTAGCCATGAGAAAGAAGGAAATTCTTACATTTGCAACAACATGGACAGACCTCAAGAACATTATGTTAAGTGAGATAAGGCAGACAAAGAAACACAAAAATTGTATGAATTCACTTATATATAGAAGCTAAAAAGGCTGAACTAATAAAAACAGAGATTAGAATGATGGCTGTCAAGGGCTTCAAAATGTACATACTTCCAGTTATAAAATGAATTAAGTTCTAGGGATCTAATGTACATCATGGTGATTATAGTTAACTGCACTTTAATATATAATTGAAAGTTGCTAAGAGAGTAGCTCTTAAGTTTTATCACCACAATAAAGAAATGGTAGTTATGCAAGGTGGTAGAAGTGTTAGCTAAAGCTATGACGGTAATCATTTTGTAATACATAAATGTATCAAATCAGCATGCTGCACACCTTAAACTTACACAATGTTAAATGTCAACTATATCTCAATAAATCCAGAGAAGAAATGTACTACTTTAGAAATATCAGTAATACATTAGTACTAATATCACTAATACATTAGTGCTCTGAAAAGCACTACCTCTTGTACATGTTTTCTCCTACTGAGACTGATATTCTGTGGTGAAATTTGCTTTGATTGCCATTTAGCTAATTATATTTGTAAAAACATCTTATTTAGCTAATTTTTTAATTGAACATTATCAACTTAAATCTGTTGTTTTATTTAAAATGCTCTGGCTCCTCCTTACCTCTAACAATCATTAAGTTTATTAGTAGCCTAACTTAGGTTACTTCAAGATTATGCTGTGTACTCTATGGAAAATGCTAAGTCACTCTCACATCTGAGTACAGAATGGGACAAAAATAGGCTTACAATGGTGAGTATGTAGAACACAGAGTTCATTCTTGTTTTTTTATTTATTATTGTTTTTTCCATTCAAACAAATGTAAACCTACTTTTGCACCATCCTGTATTTGTGCACCATATAATTATATATAATATCATATATTATATAATAGTATAATTATATATTATACCAATGTTATATAATAGTATATGATTATTGTAATAGTATATATTATGTATAATATATAATGTATAACATAATATCTTATATACAATACTATATAATGTGACATTATATGGTATTATATACACAGTATAGTATAGTGTATATACACACACAAAATATGTGTGTATGTATATATACACAATATTGTATATTGTATATGTATACAACAATATAACATTATGTGTTATATATGCGTATTATATTTCATATATATGTCACATATACACTAATATGTATATTATTGTATTACATATAACAATATGTAATTCAACATAATAATACAATAATAAAGTATATAATATATTTTTCCAGTCTATCCTTTAGCAAGACAAGCAAAATTTTGAATTATTAAGGGCTGAATAAAATATTTTCTTTCTGTTGTGAAAAATACAATAAAACAAGACTCCAACTGGCTGAAACCTAAGAGATTTTGACTAAGTAAAATGGTATATACACCCCTTTAGAGATGAACCCTTACCTTATATACTTTTTTCATTATTTCTAGAAGATTTTCAACATTGTGGTTACTCTGATCTGTTGTAGTCCAAAGACACAGCTGAACAATGATGGCTGATTTAAGCATCTGGACCAGTGTGTTGAGAGTAGATTCTTGCAAAGATGCCCAGTACTGCACTGAAGGGTATAAAATCAGCCATGATAAATATATACTCTCCCACATCCCCCCAAAGAAAACTCCCTCAGTTTCTACTGGTTCTTCGGTGTGAGAAATAGATAATATTTTCCATTTCTGATAGAATACTCCATAAAATGTTTTCTAAGATTATCATGCTGGATACTTGTTATTCACAGATAACATTTTTTTCATGATTAAGTATCATTGGAATTAAAAGCTCAAATTCAAGATTGTGAAGAAAGATATTTATGCCTGATTACTTGATTGATTTCATGATTTTCAAACTGAAAATTCTATGGGTTATTTATAAAGTCTGAAAACATACATAGGTGAACACACACACACGTACATATACATACACACACCATGTCATCAAAGGTATGTATTTTAATCTGTGAAAAATGAAACCTATGTCTTCACACTTTATGAACACCTGGTATTTATGGATATATTTTTAAATAATATCAGAAAACAATATTTTAATATAACTGACATTAGCACCCATATATTACACCTTTAAAGGATAATTCTTAGGAAACAAACCTATCAAATGTTAAAATATATAGTCCATTTAATGTAATTAAAGTAGTATTACCCAAATGCACAAATTCCATACATGGATCCAAATGCACATGAAACTTTAGTATATAACCAAGGTGCCATTGCATATTAGTGGGAGTAAAACAGATCATTCAATAAATGTCTGTGTACAGATGGAAATTGATCCAGAAAAAATTAAGATAAATTTCATATGGATCAAAGATTTAAACATAAAATTGAGACAATAAAAATTCTAGTAAGAGCATGGGAATTTTTTTGGTTTGTTTCAGAGTGAGGGAGGCTTTTTGAAGTATGACCCAAACTCAGAAACCATAAAGGAAAATGTTAATATAGTAGGCTTTATAAAAATGTTTAAAAACTATGCATGGCAGAAAATAGCACAAATTAAAAACAGTTTTAATAACCTAAAGAAAAAAATTATAACTCATATTATTGGTAAAGAAAAAATTTGTAGCATATTGTTAATAACGGATTAGCTGCCTTAGTAGTTTAAAACCTCCTAAAGATAAAAGAAATACTAACAACAAATGGAAAGAAGTGCAAGAGGAGAGAACTGATAGTTCTCAGAATATGATATACAAATGGAACTGAGATATAAGAAAAGCAGCACAACCTCATTCACAATGAATAAATTAAAATTAAGAGATTCTTTTTTCATACTGGAAAATACCAAAGTTTGATAACATTGCAGAAAAAAATGCATGGGCTAATGCTCTCATATTTGTTCATGGAGCATAAACTGATACATCTGTCATGGCTGCCATGTTGCCCAAACTCCAGGGGTGCAATTTACTTAGACTATAATGTGAATGGTGGCCCAGACTTCTGTGGAGGGTCATTTGGCAAAATCTCTTAAAATTTAAAATGCATATACAATTTGACTCAGTAATTTTGCTTTCTAGAATTTTCCCTGCCTGTGTAATTTATATATGTACAAAGAAATACATGTTAGATTATGATAGCAAAATGTTATGATAGCAAATAGTTGCTTAGAAACAACTATTCATAGTATATCCTCCCAACAGAATATTATTCAGCCATTAAATATTACAGAATAAGGCAGTTCCATAAGTCTAATAACATAATGCTTTCTGTGATATATTGTTATACAGGAAAAAGCAAGTTGCTAATAATGTGAATGGTATGCTACTATTAAAAAGAAACAATACATTCTTTTAAAGGCTTCACAAAGAACTACATTTTATAATGGCTTTCTGGGAAGGGAACTGGGTGGCTGATACTTCACAGTATATATCATTAGTATATTTTAAGCTTTGGATCTTGAATACGAGTTTAAAATTACACAAGGACATCTTATAGCAGTGAATAAAAAAATAACAAAGCTTAGTATTTCTTTTCATCATTTCTTTTTAAAGTGTTTAAAGTTTTATTTAAAACAACATGAGCAAGAAGGTTTAAAATGGATTGTCTTAACTGGATCCTCTGGTTATTAAACTCTGATGTCAAAGCCATGTCTAAGTCTAAGAATTAAACATGCCTTGTATGATAACAGTAGTGTTTGTAATAGTTTTAGATTTATCTTTTCAGTAATTCACATATACTGTTCTCAAATATTTTTGCATTTTGAAATCTTCTATTCAAAATTTGCTACAACATGTACTTCAAACAGTGATTCTCTATTGAGAGTACAGATAAAGTGACATGAAAGTAATCAGACTTACTCAGGATGTCTAAAGATCTGTCACTCATTTTACAAATGACCTGTGCAAATGGAACCACCAGAGTTTCTGAATTCCTAGAATCTTGCATCACAGGACATTGTGGGAGCAGAAGGAAAATTGATGCTGCTTCTTGGTGTGGAGAAGCACATGGAAGAGCTCTGAGTAGGTTCTCCTCGAGACATGTCTTTATCTGCAGTTGAAACACGATCAGAGAAAGGCCTGGGATAAGTTCTGGGACCGTGGATTTGATTCCACCACTTTCCAATTGGAATGATTACTTTAGTTTTCCTGAAACCTGTTGTTCAGCACTCCTTGCGTCCCAAATGTCCCTGAAGTAGTGTGAGAGCCATCCTTCCTATTTTATATTTGGGTGCACGAGGAAATAAAAGTGAATTATGTGTGCATGTCAAGCTGAGTGACTTGTGAAGGTGGCTCAGGTCAGAAAGTGGCGAAGTAGGGATCCATACCCAGATCTATTTCACCTAAAATCTACCATGGCAGAGAAAATGCCATAGGTCCATGCGACTGAGTTTTAGCTGATGCAATGTAAGTGAAAGTGACAGGTGACACTTTCAGGCACAGCGCCCCTATATCCCCTCATATAACTTTATATACTCTATTTCCTAATCTGCCAACCAAAAACAAAAGGTCTAGTGAAGGATTTAATGGTCCCAGAGCCTATAATTCTAGAAAGAAGCCCGAGTCACCCCTGCAGGATGGGAAGGGTAGCAAAATATGCCATCCCAAAATATGCCACTCTGGGATGACAATCATTTTGAGCTGAAGGTAAGTTCAAAACAAAACAAAACAAAAAAACAGCAAGCTTCTGGCTTCCTTCTATCTACCCGAAAACAGAATAGAGATTCCTTTTGTGAAGATGGCCACCTGCTCCCAACTTCCTGTACTACGAAAGAAATAACAACCATATCAGCAGAGATGATCTGGCACTGAGAGTCTAAATAAACAGAACTCACTAACCCTTTTTTACCATTAGTTTCCCCATATATTTGCCTTTCTGCAATTTGGTGCCTCCAGAAGATCAAAGTCCTTTTCCTTTGTCTTGTCACTTCTCTACAAAATTATTGTACTAAGAGTTCTAACAAGCCAAAGTTCTAACTGTGCCTTTAAATTTCTCATCATTAAGTATGTATGAAGGATGCACCCATGAACAAACTTCTGTTTGTGTTTCACCTATTAACCTGTCTTTTCTTGGTCTAATTTGTAGGGCCCTGGCCAATGAAACTTAAGTTTTCAAATTGTTTCACTAAGAAGGCTTTCTCATGGAGCATTCTGTGTAACTGATGTTCTTTAGAACACACACTGGGAATATAGCACTCCAAGCTATCTCCTGTATCACCTAAAAAATTGTTTTTAAAATACATTTGATAAAATCCACTATTCTTCATCTTGAAAATAAAAAGGTAGTGTCCACTACACATGAAGGAACACCCCCCTCCTTCCCCTTTAAACGTAGGGACTCGTAATGATATAAAGATAACTATAAACTGAAGACATTTGAGATACAGCTGATGCAGAAAGAAGCCTTCAGAGCTTCTCTTATCTGACTAAAATCTTCCAAGTGTTTACACTTAGCAGCCATAAACCCCAAGCTTCAATTGTACTTGGATGAAAAATTGCATAAACAACAGTATCATAAGCTGTCATATCTTCCATTTGTCCCACCAGAAGCCCATTTGTTTCCCCCCAAACTCCTTTTGTTTTCTCTTTCTCCCCTCTCCCTTTCCCTATTAAGTTGGTATATAAGCACTAATCCCTAGCTATTCGTGGAAACTTTTCATTCAAACGTTTCTGAATGCATGGGAATAAAGCTTGTTTTCTGTGGTCTTGTTAATCTGTCTATTATCAGTTGTGAAACCCCCAAACACTGAACCTAAATTGGTGGAGGGAAAGTTTTCCTTCCAACACCACCCACAACCACAAAATGTTAAATTGGAATAGACCTTAAAGATGAATGCAACTTACATAGATAAATAAAGTGTGACCCAAAGATTATAAAGGACAAAGGATTTTGTGATCCTGCTTCCCAAACTAGTGTTCTTTTCATGTTATGCCAGAAGTTATTCACCTCTCAAGCACTAGTTTTCTCATCTTGAAAATTAAAATATTGTCATTTGTATATTTAAGTGCTCAAAAATAAAATAAGATCCAGCAGCTAATGATGGGGGGCTCAAGAGTTCAGAAATTTCAGTTTTAGGTAATAGTCAATAAGCTTAGTAACTAATGCACGCAAAAAGCTATTGATTCAGGAACTGAAGGTATGACCCACTCTGACTCTGGGAAACCACAAGCAGTTCCACTTGTGTGCCCCAGGAGGCCTGCAAATAATCAAGATGGTACCTGAGCCACTGCATTCCAGAGAGAGATGCTCACTCCCTAGGTAGACAGATAAAGATGAAAGAATCCACAAATGAAAGAATGCTGCAGCCTTTTATCTGATTAAATTTTTCCCTGAATTCCAAACCCCTTACCTACACTTTTTTTCTCCTTATAAAAAGGGTCGGTTTGAAATGGAGTTTAAGATGGTCTGTTAGGGTACATAACCTGCCATTTTCTCAGATCTCTGGCCATCTGAATAAAGTGCACATAGATTATCAATCCCTGTCTCTGCTTATTGGTTCTAGTAGTGACAGGCAGCTTCGAAAGCCAGCTTTTCTGGTTTCACTAACATAGTGTCTGAAATACAGCAACCACAAAATGAACACCAGGCCCTGCCTATCAGGTCCCCTGACTCGGTTCCCAACAAAATTAAACTACAATCATATTGGTTTCTGTAAGGAAATTCTATTACTCTGTTTTTAAAGTAAATATTGACTATTACCATGAATGAAATCCACTCCTTTTTTGTTAACTTCTGGAAGGTATCACTTGCCATTTGTAAGTCCACGTCGATGGAATTTATTTCTCCAGGTTCTCTTTGTATAGAAGAAATGCAAAAAAATACATAAATAAATGGAAAGGAACATTTCCATACTACATATGTCATTATTTAGTTTTATTTTATTACATGTCAGATATAAACTTTTTTCTTAAAGCTCACGTTTCAAAATAATCAATTTACTTGGCACAAAAAAACACATGAAATGTATGTTCTGCTACAAGAGAGTAACAATGTACTACCTCCAGAACAGCTGCAGTAACAGCAGAGTTTTATATGCTGGGCCCGAAAACTGAAAGCATTTACCCGCACTCTCATCTGGCACACAAAGAACTGAAACTACATACCCCCACACATTCCTTACCACGTATATTTACGTTACTGTGGGATTCCACTGTCTCATTAGCATTACTTTACTATTCCAAGAGACACTTGCCCAAGCAAATGGTTTGATTGTTCATTATGGGAACTTCCTGAAAAGACCCATTAACTAACTCTTCCACGAAAAGCATCAACAGTTTATGCCAATTCTTTGAATCTCTTGCCTCACAAATCATATCCTTGCTGTTTCCATTCATCCAGTATTTTAGTATCTTTTCCCAATCAATCAAGCCCTAACCTCCCCTTCCCATATTAAAAACTTTGCCTTAAGCCAAACGGCCAATTCTTTTTTTTTAAGAATTTATTTATTGATTTTAAGGAGAAAGAGGGAGGAAAATATCAATGTGTGGTTGCTTTTCACGCGTCCCTACTGGGGACCTGGCCCACAACCCAGGCATGTGCCCTGACTGGGAATCAAACTGGCCATTCTCTGGTTCACAGCCACTGAGCCACACCAGCCAGGGCCCAAACTGCCAATTCTCAATAAATTCCAACCTAGCCTTCCCTCTCAGAAACGCTGCTAAAGCTTTGTATAGGTGTGGTTCTGTGCTTCCTTGGCTTGTGTTGGTCATATCTGAGAAACCTGCATTCTGCCGAACAATTTGTTTTTATAATGTTCTATCAAGAAATACTTTATACTTTCTGGATTAGCCAACTAGTAACCCCAGGGCTAAAATATTATGCAAGTACTAAATCAAAGAATATATTGTTAAATATATTCTCCTTTTCAGCCTTTGACATTTTAAGACCACACCCTGAAGTTCATCACTACTTCGAGGATACATTTCTACTTTAAAAGATGATATTCTTAGTGTAGAAAGACACTAGAGTAGGAAAGAAAGAAGGTACTCTGTATGGTAGAGCCCTCAATTCCAGCCTGGAAAGATGGCAAAAAGAGGACAGCAAATGGGAGAAAGGGCAGAGGGAAGTAGTGTCCCTATTTCCTTTCTCCTGCCTTTGTCCAGGATATGCAGAGATGAATAGGGGTGCTTTTTTGAACTCTAGAAAGATACCGCCCCATGAACTACCAGTGGGAAGCCATGACAGTGAACTTCCCTGGGCTTCTCTGGCTCCCAGATGAAGTTGTTGGAGTGGCTGAGAATGCATCTGGCTTAGGAACCAATGGGACAATAATACAGAACAATACTGAGCGTAAACTGTAATTGAAAAAAAATTTAAAATACGATAACTGTGGGTTGTGTAGGGTCAAGGAATAGCTACAACAGGGGTTAAGCCAGCACCACCTAGTGGCCAGGAGGGGCTGGTTAAAAGATGTGTATCATCTGAACCAATGAGCCAGCTGGAGGCCAGCTCACAAGGACCTGACCTAGCAAGGACTGAAATGAGTTATATGGGCTGCAGATTGACCAGCAGGGGACCAGCCTCCAGAGAAGGCAGAGGGCAGCCTAAGGACCCTTCATGCTGCTATCTCCCCATCTTCTCCGTTCTATACTGTTAAATTAATTAAACAAGGAAACCATTAGACTGTAGAGGCTCTACTGCCATGGAGGCCTACATAACTCTAAGCTTGTAAATGCTTCAAAGTTATGAAATCAAAACCTAAAGACAACAGTGACAAATGGCCAGCTGTTCAAATTCTTATGCCTAAAGCTATAGCCAATCAAATAATTCTCTTTCTTTGCTTCTGCGCTATCACTACCCCAATCTTCGCCCTGGCTCCTGTCAGCAGAGTGCGCCTAACCACTTCCAGTTTGGCACTATCCCATTTGAATCAACATTTGCTCAAATAAACTCTTAAAATGTTTAACATGCTTCAATTTATCTTTTAATGGTTCTTAGCCACAGTACTGACGAGTATAGAAGGAGGGGAAGAAATCTAAGACCATATGTCGAACATTATGCAAAGGAATTGTTTAAGCTCCTGGGTTATGCCAACTCTTAAACCAAACAGAAGTTAGATTTTCCTCTCTAGTAGTGAGACTAAAGATAAATAGGGTCTGTTTTCCTTATTGATCCCACCACAATAAGAACTGCAAAGGACAGCCTTGGACTCTTAAGTACTAGGGCAATGAAATGATACCCACAGAAACAAAGATCCAGGAAAAAAACACCATTCCTCCAAGTCAGAGAACAAAAGAGGGCAGGATAGAGGAAGTAAACAATGCGAATTAGGTATTACAGCTTAATAGTGGTATGATATATAATTATGTTACAATATGGAAGAATTCCGTAACAACCCATGGAGTTTTGTGTTGGGCTTTTTGTTTGTAGATAGCAGAATTCACAAACTGAACTGGCTGACTTCATTTAAAATATTCCCCAGTGCTTTAAATGAAGGTAAATCTCATGTAAATATTACCTTTTCTTTAAAAAACTTGCAGTCAGACAAGCAGGAGATGAAAATATCATTCTAATTTCACTGCAAAAGTAATAACATAAGGATTAAGTCATAATATACTGTAAAGCTTGCCTCCTCTTATCTCATGTCTGCAGATAACTGATGATGTGCAACCATTAATAGTGAAAATAACAATTCTGCTAAGAGTCCTCCAAGTGCTGGTCATCCTTTGTGCGTGTGACCGCCAAGTCTCACCAACAGCCTTCCTAGCTAATTTGGTCAAGTCACCTAGACATAAATAAAACCCATCCTTCTGAAAACAAATTATGGAGCTCCAGAGAATAAACTATGAAGATATTTTTTAAAGTTCACTTTAGGGAAGATTTTGAGAGTCAGAAAGCATTTCTGATTCTCTCCTACATCTCCCTCACCTATCAAGGGGCCTAGAGTATGGTATGTTCTCAATACAGGGTGGGGCAAAAGTAGGTTTACAGTTGTGAGTATGCAAAACACAGAGTTTATTTTTGTATTGTTATTTATTAACTATTGTACTATTTTCCATATGAACAACTGTAAACCTACCTTTGTCCCACCCTGTATACCTCTGTTAAGTGAACAGTGAATCAATGAGTAAGTCAATGACTTCTTCAGACTAAGGTGGCTGAAGGGAATCTGGGGAAATGCAAATGCCTTCACAACAAAGCCAAGCCCTCTCTCTTACATCTAAGATAAAATGACCATGGCTTCCGAATTAAATAACAGTGGTTTATAATGATCTGACAGAGCCACCTCTTAGCCACTTCATGTTCAGTACTTCCAATTGTCACTGCCATCCATTGTTCCACCTGGGACTGGTTAATTCGGCTTATTTCTGGCAAGGTTTTCCTGGAAACATCTGTGGAACTAGTATCCTTCAAGGAAGAAAAAAAAGAACAATCAGGAACACATACACATGTGCAGAGTAAGAGATAACCCAGTAAAGCTGGTAGATAGGACCAATGCTCTTGGACAGTGGGGTTTGGTGGGATGGATACGGCAACAGACCCGTCTGGTTGTTCTAGCTTTGGCCACTTTGCTTGGTCTGAACCTTAATTTATCATTTAAAAAATGGGATAACACAAATGTATTAAAAACAGGAACTGAAACACATAATCTGTAGGCCAATATTTATTGCAGCATTATTTACAGTAATGTTCATTAACAGGTGAATATTGTATATATACATATAATGGAATATTATTTAGCCATAAAAGGAAGGAAATTATTATACCTGCTGCAACATGGATGAACTTTAAAAATATGCTAAGTGAAATAAGTCAGACACAAAAGGACAAATATTGTATGATTTCACTTATATTAAGTAGAAACATTTATATGTGCACAAAAAGTAGATTACAAATTACCTCAGGCTAGGGGTAGGAGGTAATGTGTTACACATTTAATGTGTTTTCTGTTTGTGGTGAGGAGAAGTTTTTGAGGTGGGCAGCGGTGATGGGCCCATTCAACAACATCATGAGTGCAATTAAACCACTAAACTGTTCACTTAACATTGGTTCAAATCGCAAAGTTCATTACACATATAGTATAAATATAGATATAGATATGTAGATATATATTTTACTACAATAAAAAATTGAGATTACAATACCTAATACCTATGTCCCTGGGGCCTTATTAAGATTAAATGATATTAGGTATACAAAGCTTTACATGATAGTAGGTAGGTACTCAATAAATACTAGTTTCTTCTCTTTAACCAGCCACAGATTTTTACTTTTATATCAGTAGTTTTCAAACTTCAGTGTACAACAGAATCATCTGGTGATCTTGTTAAGGCGTAGATTGCTGGACCTATCCCCACAGTTTCTGATTCAATACAGCAGGGGTGAAGCTCAAGAATATATATCTGGAGCCCTGGCTGGTGTAGCTCAGTGGATTGAGCACGGGCCTGTGAACCAGACAATCGCGGTTCGATTCCCAGTCAGGGCACATGCCTGGGTTACACGCCAGTTCCCTGCAGGCCACTTCCCAGCAGGGGACGCACAAAAGGCAACCATACATTGATGTTTCTCTCCCTCTCTCCTTCCCTTCCCCTCTAAAGATAAGTAAATAAAATCTTAAAAAAAATATATATATATCTGGTGAATTCCCAGGTGATGCTGATGCTGCTGGTTTGGGGACCACACTTCAAGAATCATGGTTCTATACACTTGATACCAAATGGCTCAGCCAGAGGTGTCAGAAATCATCATGTTGGAAAGAATAATCAGTCTCTAATATCGTCTTCCAGAGACATTAGTGTTCTGCTCTATATTATACCTTGGTCTCCACTGAACTTGTAATGAGTCAGGAAATGCTGCATCACTTGTAATGTTTAAACAAAGACATTTTGAAAAAAATGTGTAACTATGGCTCCTCGAGTTCCCTCCAGTTTCTTTTTCTGAGTCCTGGGTATCTCCTGCAGTTCAGTCGTGAAGAAGCTTTTTTTCTTCCACATGCCAGGAACGTTAGGACAATAAGGTGCTCCCCACGGGCACCTATATACCTTTTCTTCTACTTTCTACTTCAAAATTCTGACTCCTCCGAAGGGCATGACATGAGACTGTATCATCTGCCTCTCCTTCTATGATCATCTCCCGATGCCCTAGTCACTACTCTTCAGTCTGAAAACTCTTGCATGTTGCCAACTGTCTTTCTCAGCACCACTACGCCTGCCATCACTCTTCCTGTCATTCTCGGCTACTTCAGAATTGATTAATTCATTTCCCACCTCAGTCTCTCAGTTCTTGATCTCATCTCCAATCTTCTCCTCTTCGCCTCAGCCACTCGTGCCCTGGATCAGGGATTCTAAAATGACACTACTGGCATTTTGAGTCAGATAATTCTTTGTCGTGAGTGGCCGTTTTGTGCACTGTAGGATGTTCAGCAGCATCCCTGGCCTCTACCCACTGGACGGCGGTAGCAGCGTCCCCCAACATGCATGTCTCTCTACAGTTACAACAGTTGTTTACTCTTTCTCACCCATCATTGCTTTCTCCATATGAAATGGATCCTTCTCACTGTCGCACAAACATACGTTACTATTACCTCTCTAGACAGTAACAAAACCCTCCCACAGTTCTCTACTCCCTTTCAAAATAAAACTCAGAATTGTCACAGCCATTGTTTGTACTGGCTCCTCTCCTACTCTTTCTCTATCCCACTAAGTCAGGTTACATCCATCTCCCCTGAGGTGGCTCAGTCCTAACAAAGCGAACAGAACTCTGCTCATCTTCCATCGCTCACTTCTCCACAGTATGTGACAGGACTGGCACTTCCTCCTTCTAGAAATAGTTCTTTACCTGCTCTTGGCTTGAGAAGGCACCCTCCCCTGGTATCCTCCTACCCCAGGAACTGGTCCTTCTCAGTCTCTTATTCTGGCTCCTCCTCGCTGCCTGATCTCTAACTGAAGAAGCCCTCAAGGCTGAATTTTGTTCCCTTTCTCTTCTCATTTTCACTTTCTCTCTTCATCCAGGCCTCTGGCTTTAAATACCATCAGGACCCTTGGCTGGTGTAGTTCAGTGGATTGAGGGTGGACTTGCAAACCAAAGGGTTGCCGGTTCGATTCCCAGTCAGGGCACATGCCTGGGTTTCAGGCCAGGTCCATAGTAGGGGACATGTGAGGGGCAACCACACATTGATGTTTCTCTCCTTCTCTTTTCCCTTCCCTTCCCTTCTTTCTAAAAAAAATAAAATTAAAATCTTTATAAAAAATAAATAAGAGAGACACCATCAGGAGGTTGATACATATTTGTATTTTAGTGCTGATGTCCTCCCTGAGCTCCAGATCTACTAAACTCTGATGTCCTCTCCAAAGACATTTCAAGCTGACCCCGTCTCACATACTGACCCATTACATCCAAGGCTCCATCTCATGGAATTCTTCATCCTTTCCTATCAAGCACTGTCTGACTGGCTTTCTCTCTGTTCCTCACACGGACTAACTGTGTTCTTGTGCGTCCTCCTCTCTACCTAAAGTGCTCTTTTTCTGGATCTAAGCTTGGCGAAGATTTTTGCTCAAATGCCACAGCTGGTGTGAGGTCTTCCCTGGCTGAAATTTCTAAAGAAACCCACCTCAAACGACCCATTTTGTTTTCCTCAGGGCACTTGTCACTCTCTAACAGAATCTTATTGTGCATTTTCATGTTTATTATCTATCCTTTTATGTAGACTCCAACACCGTGAATGAACGCAATCTTATCAGATACAAACAATAGAATCCTTGTATTCTTTACTTTCATCCCAAGCACCTTAAACACAGGAGGCATTTAACTGAATGGCTATGACAGAGTAAGTACAATCTCCTGACTATCACCAGCAGCACAGACACCTCCGCTTCTCACCATTGTCTGTCCCGGGAATATAGTAAGGGTCTATATGAATAACACATTCCTGATCATAGAAAAAAGTAAAGATTAGGAAAGTAACAATTACATGTATGCCTTTGTCTCCACAAAAACACTTCAGAATTCACCCAGAAATAGAATAATAAAGCCCTCTCTGTTAACAATTAGCAACTAGGAAAGCACTAGTATGGTGGGCAACAGTGTGAACTTGGAGGCTGATTTGCCTGGAATCATCTCTGCCACTTATTAGCAGGGCAGCTGTGGGGGAGTCTACCTCTCCGAGACGCAGTATTTGTCATCTGTAAAATGGGGGAAAATAATACCAACCGGAGTTGATATGAGGATTAAACCATTGATCCATTTGGAGTACTCAGATTGGTGCTTAATTCATGATGACTACAACTGACATTATTCATTACCTTTATTATCATTTTTAATATTCTTAATAATTAAAAACTTAGCGGGAAGGCAATGAATTTGGGCATCTCAGCTACTAGAAAACCAAAAGAGACAGTGAGAATTACATAATATTTTTAAAAGCATTCTATGAGAGGATCTTATTATTTAAATAAGAACTTGAAGACATACAAATGATACAATATTTCAAATACTACTCTGAAATCTGGAGAAAATCGATTTTTAAAAGAAACAAAGTGTAATAGGTACCTGATAAGTTGTCACAAAATTGGCATATGTTCCAGCAAAAATGTGTTTGACTTGAACACCCACAAGGTCTAAAAGAAAGTCATAAATCCATGCTTATTGTTTTTATAAGTAAAAAATATTTTGTTGTAAGCCTAAAACTACTCTTAAAAATAGTCTTTTGAAAAATCTAATGTATTCCCAAGCCAAATTTACTCACTTACAGGCAACTTACATTCTCCTGAAGGGATGTGGACTACACAACCAGAAAAGATTGGGATCAGGTTACAGGTCATATATTCACTTAGCCAAAAACTTAATTTTCATGCACTTGCATCATGAAACCAGGCTGATGTGCTTTAGAAGAGGTCCAATTAAATATATAAAAGTGTATTGTTCTGATGCTTAAGTAGCCAATTTGGGATCTTCTCTTGTATTATCTTAATCTTTAGACAAGGTTACCAAATACTCTGGGAATCACAGCATAAGAAAAAATGTATATTTTACAAATGAAAAACATAAGCATACTAGATGAACTATAGTTCTGTGCACTCCTTTGAGGGAAAGCTGAATAATACCTCTCCTCCAATGGCATCAATTAACAGGAAATCATGAGTTAGTGGGACCACTCATACCATCAGCAGTAATCAGGCAGCTAATGCCAAAGTTTTCCATCTGGGCCTCTGGATGAGTTAGGCTGCTTGCACAACCTGGTCCACGACCAAAAGACACCACCTGACCAGTAGTGTAGACATATGCAAGGGTGTGATAACTGCAAGAGAGAGAATACATAAAGTGAAGACCAGGACACTTACACCTTTTGAGTAAGATGATGTCTCTTAACACACACAAAAATAGACTTATTTTACACTAAGTTCACAGATCCCTTATCACAATGTCATGGTTAGAAGGTACCAAATGATGTGACTAAACCAATGGTAGGTGAATATTAATCTATTAATAACCTTAACCATAGAATATTATTGATGGGTGTTTACTATGGTTTCTATCACTTGTGCTTAAATGCAGGTGTTTTATTTTTTGAATTAGGTAGATGATACTCAAAGTGTCCTCATAATTAGGTTACATGAAGCTCTGAGTATATATGCAAATATGCATCATCATCTTCATGCATGAGCATGAGATTAATTTTGGTTAATCACCTTAAGTAGACAAGTACCACTATTTTTGTTATAAACCCCCTTCCTGCCCTTGCATCCAGTTAGGTGGTCCATATACAGTAAACTCCCTATTAAACAAATTAAATGCCTAGGATGAAAAAGAAATGGGAAAGTTAAACTTCATTTGAAAAAAGTAAATTTCAGAAAAGAAAGTTATTTATACAAAATAGCCATATACTTTAGGGTTTTAAAAGTTTTGATAACGTTGTATATGAGTCATTTCTAAGTCATAAAATACAACAGTTTCTACTCATGCTAAAAAAAAAAAGAAAGCTTATTACCTTCCACAGTCTATCTGCGAAACTAGGCCATCGATTTTTTCTACGTGCTGTGGACCACTCTTCTTAGCGGTGGGGCTGTGGCCCAGCTGTCCCCAGCTATTGTCTCCAAATGTGAACACTTTCCCATGCTGTCCAAGAAAAGGAAGAGAGCTAATCTCAAGAAAAAGAAAGTAACTAAAAAAAGATTGTGTTTCATAACGGAGTTATATGAGAGCACAGTGTGAAATAATGAGTATATGAACCCTGGAGGCGGGGCGCTGTACTTACTATTTTTAATGGTAAATGTACAGTTAACACATTAAACACAAAAAATCATCGGCACTCCATTAAGGATTGGGAACTTAATACGTTTGTAGAATGAATGGATGGACAAATTCACTGGTTCAAAAGTAACACTAACATTTATTTATTTCTGCATTCCTCTGCAAATAATCTGTTTTTAACACAGATGACTCTTTTTAAAATTTATTTTTCAGTTACATTAGACATACAGTATTTTTAAAATATTTCATTTAGTTAGTTTTAAAGAGAGGGGAAGGGAAGGAGACAGAGAGGGAGAGAAACATCATTGTATGAGAAACAGCTGACCCTCACAAAGCCTCATCCGGGGACCTGGCCTGCAACCCAGGCATGTGCCCTGACTGGGAATCGAACCAGCAACCTTACAGTTTGCAGGCCAGTGCTCAATCCACTGAGCCACATGAGCCAGGGTGGGTCATATGGTAGTTTTCAGTATGTCAGCTATCTTATGCTATTGGCTTCTAGTGGGTAGAGGCCAGGGATGCTGCTTACCACCTTCCAATGCATAAGACAGCCCCACAGCAAAGAATTATTTGGCCAAAACATCAATAATACCAAGAAATTTTGCAAATCACTTTTTTTTTGCAAAGCACTTTTGACACGTTCAGTTAGTCACAGAACCCTCTGCATACACTGCACAATCTTTATATGTGTTTCAGTTGTGTTTTTATCTTTCTTGAGACATAAAGCATAATACGCCAAAAATTTGTATGTTTTCTTCCATCCTCAATATTAAAATGGCTGTACAAAAATTCACCAATTTTGATAAGTTGTTTTTAATGCACAATGATGTAACAGCTGTCACAATACAATCTAACAAAATTGGCTCTGGCTGGTGCGGCTCAGTGGATTGACTGCCAGCCTGTGAACCTAAGTGTCACTGGTTCGATTCCCAGTCTAGGGCACATGCCTGGGTGGCAGGCCAGGTCCCTGGTAGAGGGCACGGGAGAGGCAACCACACATTGATGTCTCTCTCCCTCTCTTCTCCCTTCTTCCCCTCTCTCTAAAAATAAATAAATAAATATTTTAAAAAACAATCTAACAATATTGTTTTGAATGAAGTTAAAGACAACTAACTGCTACTTGAGCCCTATTACCAAAAAAAAAACAAATGAACTTTTGGGCCAACCTATTAATCTGTCCACTTTCCCAGACATCATTTATTGAAGAGACTGTCTTTATCCTATCGTACATTCTTGCCTCCTTTGTCATAGATTAATTGGCTATATAGCCATGGGTTTATTTCTGAGCTCTCTATTCTGTTCACTGGAATATGCATCTGGTTTTATGCCAGTGCCATGCTGTTTTGATTACTATAATTTTGCAGCATACTGTTTTTTGCTGTGTATATAATGCCCTCCCATGTATGACACACGCCCATATTTTTGGCCCAAACTTTCAGGAAAAAAATCTTTCCCTTTAATTTCGTAATTCATTATTTATTCATTTGTATTTAGAAACAAAACCAATTATGGTATTCCAGTGTATTATTCTGCATACAGATATCATTATTGCTTTCTAGAGGTACACTTTTAATGCATAAACATAAAAAAGAACTAAAGAGCTACACCAGCCAGGTGGTGGATTGAGCGCAGGCCTGTGAACCATGGGATCATGGTTTGATTCCCAGTCAGGGCACATGCCTGGGTTGCAGGCCTGTTCCTAGTGGGGGACACATGAGAGGCAGCCACACATTGATGTTTCTCTCCCTTTCTTTCTCCTTCCCTTCCCCTCTCTCTGAAAATAAATAAATAAAATATTTTTAAAAAAAGAACTAAAAACATTATATACACATGGAGTTAGTACTGTGTATAATGTGCATCCTTATTTCCCCCCAAAATTGGGGCAAAAAGTATGTATAATACACAGCATAATACAGGTAATTTGCATGATACCTGCAACATTTTTCTTTCTCACGACTGTTTTGGCTATTCAGAGTCTTTTGTGGTTCTACATAAAGTTTAGGATTATTTGTTCTAGTTCTGTAAAAAATGCCACTGGTATTTTGATAGGGATTGCATTGAATCTGTAGATTGCCTTCAGTAGTATGGACATTTTAATGATGTTAATTCTGCCTACCCACTAAGACAGAATATACTTCCATTTATTTGTATTTCCTTTAGTTTTTTTCTTCAATATCTCAGTTTTATGAGTATAGGTATTTTACCTCCTTGGTTAAATTTATTCTTAGGTATTTTTTGATGCAATTGTTTTCTTAATTTTTCTTTCTTATAGTTCATTATTGGTGTATAAAAATGCTACCAATTTCTGAATATTAATTTTGTAACCTGCTAAAACTGAATTCATTTACCAGTCCTAATAGTTTTTTGTTAGCATCTTTAGGGTTATATATCTATAGAGTATCATGTCATCTGTAAATAATGACAATTTTACCTCTTTTTTCTGATTTGTTTAAGTTTTATTTCTTTTTGTTTGATTCTTGTCACTAGGACTTCCAGTACTATGTTTGGTAAAACTCACCTGTGAAACCATCCGATCTAGGACTTTTGTTGGGAGTTTTTTTATTACTGGTTTGATTTCACTAGTTATTATTGGTCTGTTCAGACTTTGTTTCACCCTTGAAGATTATATGGTTGTAGGAATTTATCCATTTCTTCCAGGTTGTCCAATTTGTTGGCATATAGTTGTTCATAGTATTTTTTAACAATCCTTTGCATTTCAATGGTGGTGTTTGTCACTTCTCTTTCATTTCTAATTTTATTTATTTGAGCCCTCTTTTTTTTCTTAATGAGTCTGGCTAAAAGTTTATCAGTTTTACCTTTTATCTTTTTACCTTCCAAAGAATGAGGTCTTGACTTCATTGATCCTTTCTACTGTTTTTCTTTTAATATCTATTTCATTTATTTCTACTCTCATCTTTACTATTTCCCTCCTTTCTACTCATTTTTGGTTTTGTTCTTTTTTTCTAATTTCTTTAGGTGTAAGGTTAGACTGTTTATTTTAGATTTTTCTCGTTTCTTGAAGTAGGCATGCATTGCTATGAATTTCCCTCTTAGACTCTGTCTCATAACTTCGGTCACTTTGTTTTCCCTTTTATATGTCTCGAGGTACCTTCAAAAGATGGTTCTTGATTAAAACAATTCTAGCTTTCTCTTGTCAACTAAAAATAATATAATCCCAACATGCCTTTAAAATAATAAAAATTGTTTTATATATTTAGTTTTTAAATAAACATTTCAACCATAGAGTTTTCAACTTTACTCCTTATGGCTATGGAGGAAATACATCACAATGGAATATATTATATGGTCAGTACCAGAGGAGAAGGAAAACATTCAGGAAGCCAGCTCACATCTGTAATGATTGAGAAGTGAAACAAAATATGTTCTAGTGTGTAATGTGGGTTATTAAAAACTGTAAAAATTACTTTGTGCTTTTGTAATTTTTATCTGTAGAACCACATTACGAATAGTTGCTAATAAGACTGTCTCCTCTCTTAATCTAATTTAGTGGGTATCTAAAAATATATTCTAAAGCTGAAATTAGCTTTTGTGATAGGATCTGGAAAACTTCATGGTTTATTCTGGGCTAACATCTCCTCTCAAATACTTGTACACTGAATAGATATGTTGAGATATTGATCCACATCTTGTTTTCAAGAATAATCAATAACTGTACCTTATGGTAACATTTGCCTTGGGTTTTAAAAAATAGCAAGACATTTTTGGTTACCTGGGTAAGCACTGCAGTGTGTTCACAGCCACAGCTGATGTAAATCACACCTAGACTCTTCAGCGCACCAACTGAGTAAGGCTTGTACCTTTGCACTGTTGAAAGAAAGCAGCATTTCTAGAGTATAAGAAGCAGAACCAGATATCATGAGTTTTTATATTATTATACTTTTTATATTTTTATTACCTTATTCGTTAACATAATTTTTAGGAGTATTTTTAATCAGAAGTATTATAAAACAAAGGGAAAGCCCTGATTTAGAAAAGGAGAGGAAAGAAAAGAAAAGCAGTCTTTAGCATTTATTTCTGGAAGCTGTTGGGTTAACCTAAGAGTCCATATGGTTCTCTTTGTAAAATCAAAGACACATATTTCATTTTCACCAATAGCTTTATTGATTTGGATATTTTGAGTTATAGTGGCTATCTAAAGCATGGTATAATGTTGATTGTTCTTAATTAATGTCTCAATTTGATCACTCTCAACTTCAACTGGTCTACCTCACCATGGACCATCGTCCAGTGAGAACTCTCCACCAGGAAACTTCACAACCACTTTTGACATGTTTGTAGTCACAGCACCTTCTCTACACACTGCACAAACCTTTTTTTTTGCATTTCAGTTATGTTTTTACCTTTCTTAAATAATAAAGCATAATATGCTTAAATGTTGCATATTTTCTTCCATCTTCAATATTAAAATGGATACACAAAAATTCACCAATTTTGATAAGTTTTTTAAAAAATGCACACTGATATGACAGCTGTCACAATACAATGCAACAGAATTGTTTTTGAATGAAGTTGAAGACAACCAAGAACTACTAGAGCCATCATACAGAAAACAAACAAACTTTTTGGCCGACCCAACATTTACTCTTCAGGAATGCTTGCGTGAGTCCGTTGCCCTGGAGAGCTAAGCTTTAAGGCCTTTTTCCTAAATAGTGTTATCATGTTGTATTCATTTCTGTCACACAGTACCTATTCTGTGAATATATAATAATAATTTAGGAAATAAAAGAACCTAATTCATTTTGATAAAGTTAAATGAAATTAGATGTAAGTGCTCAGTGTGGTACTAGCACTTAACAGGTACTAGATATACATTGGCTAAATGAAGAAGATTGAACAGAGAACAGGGTCCATGGGGAAGAATTCACAGTGAGTTTCATTTAAATCACAGGTGACAAACACGAGGCCCATGGGCTGAGTCCGGCTCCCACCTCGTTTTATCCAGCCCAGCACCTTGTTTCTACCCAGCGGCAGCACCGAGCTCTCACTTCACTGTTAAGGAGGAGATACATTTATACAGTCCTAAAGTTACATTCGGCCCTTTGAAGGCAACTGCAAGGCTGATGTGGCCCCCGGTGAAAATGAGTTTGACACCCCTGTTTTAAAGGTTTCCAGAGGAACTGGTTGCTTTCCCTACCACCAGCAGGCTTCTAACCCAGTGGTTCCCAAACTTTGTTGCACACTGGAATCCACCTGTGGGATCTTTATTAATGATTGATGCCTGGTTTCCATCCCCAGACATCCTGATTAATTGGTATAGGATCCAATTCAGACATCAGGATTTTTTAATGCTTTTGTGGTAGACAGAATAACGGCCTCCTAAAGATGTGCACATTCTTTTCCCAGAGCCTGAGAGTATGTTAGGGTGCATGTCAAAAGGGAGTTAAGGAAGCAGATGGAATTAAAGTTGCTAATAGTTGATTAAAACAGGGACATCACGAGGGTCACTTCACTGAATAAAAGGGAGGTAGAAGAGTCAGTGTTAGAATATGTGACTTGAGAAAGACTTACCCAGCCATTGCTGGCTCTGAAAAAGAAAGGGGCCCGTAAATGAAAGAAGCAGGTAGTCTCTAGAATCTGGAGAAGGCAGATTCTGACTTCTGTCCTGCAGCATCCAGAAAGGAACACGGCCTTGCTGGCACCTCGATTTTAACTCAGTGAGACCTGGGTCATACTTCAGACCACCAGAACAATAAGAGAGTAAGTCCGTGTTGTTTTAAGCTACTAAGTCTGTGGTAAGTTGTTACAGCAACTGTCATAGCCCTGGCTGGTGTGGCTCAGTGGATTGAGTGCTGGCCTGTGAACCAAAGGGTCACTGGCTCGATTCCCAGTCAGGGCACATGCCTGGGTTGCGGGCCAGGTCCCCAGTAGGGAGTGTGTGAGAGGCAACCACACATTGATCTTTCTTTCCCTTTCTTTCTTCCTCCCTTCCACTCTCTAAAAATAAATAAATAAAATCTTAAAAAAAATTAATATAGCCCCTTAGGTGATTCTAATGTGCCATAAAGTTTGGGAACCACTGTTTGCACCACTGATACTGCCCTTTGCAGAGTTGGTCCTCCAACCAAAAAGAAATAATAATTTAATGCAGGAACAAGACTATCTCCTTACCTGGGGCCTTGCCCGTAAAGGCCAATTGCCCTGCACTGTTGTTTCCCCAACCAAATGAAGTCCCAGAGAGAGACAGGGCAAAGCTGTGGGCCCCTCCTGCAGCCACCTGAGCCAGTGGGATCCCCTCCAGGGACTTCACCCTCTGCGGGCTGGCCTGGGAGGGAACGTCCTTCCCCAAGCCCAGCTGCCCATGGCTGTTCTTCCCCCATGAAAACACTTGGCCATCTACAAAAATAAAGAAGAGAAATTCAGAATTGCACACACTTTGGAATACCAAATTCAAGTAGAAACTACCATCCTAATTCTAAAAATCTTTAAAGAATAAAACAGGGATAAAGGAGGTTAAAGTGTTCTGATTAGAGGCAAGGGGTATGGTCAAGATCACCTTCAAAAATCTCTTCCAACAACATCTATTCCTCTTCTCCTTCCAAGTAAAGGGCACCTGTGTTCTTTCAGGTGTTCGACCAGAAACCTTGGGCGTCATCCTTTACTCTTCTCTCGTATACACTCGCCAACCCAGCAGATCCTAAGCCTCTACCTTCAGAGTTTATCCAGAATCCAACCACTCCTCACTTCCCCACTGTTAGCATCTTAGCAGCCAGGTCACCATCATTTACATCCTGGAAAATTACAATAGCACTTCACTGGACTCCCAAATTCCACCTTTGTCCCCAGAAGTCTGTTCTCCAAAGAGCAGCCAGAGTGATCTTTTAAAAATATGTCAGATTGAACCCATCAGGAGCTTCTAGCCTATTCAGTAATAGACTGATTCTTACCATGGCTCACAAGCCCCACATCCCCGTTACTCCCCACAACCTCATCTCCCCCTTGCTCATGCCTTTCCAGAGATCCCCTGCTGTTGCTGATCACCACTTGGCATCAACACCTTTGTGTTTGGATCACTGTTCTGGATCACAGCCTTAACATCATGTTTCCCTCACTCTCTTCCTTTTAGTCTCTGCTCATATGTCACCTTGTAAGAGTTTCCCCGACCGCCTTTATGAATAGAAAGACCCTTTTCCTCTAACTGAGTACTTGTGCTCTCTTACCCTGACTCACTTTTCTTCATGCCTCTTATCACTATCTGTTAAACGGTATAACGATTTTTCTGTGTTTAAGGTTCATTGCCTTACTTCCCCTCAGAATGTTAGCTCCACAAAAGTAGGATCTTAGGTTTTTAACTGCTCTATTCCTCTTTGCTGGAAACATTGTAGGCACTTGATAAATACTTGTGAAATGACTCTATGGGGGAAAAAAACCCAACATTTTATGTTGAATTTGACCAGAGATGGATAATTAATATCACTTCAAAAATAAAGCTGTTCTAATGCCTAATTAGTTGCCACACATCTCAGATTTTTATGTTATTATATCTAATTTTTACTTTGAACTCTTCTAAGTTCCTTGTACCACTGAAAAGAATTTTTGAGAGCACAATACAGAATGTCAAACTCTGATGAAAGTGTATGAGAACTCCCAGTTCACCATCGCAAATGCACTGAGTGCTGGGTTCTACATGGCTTTTACATTCCAGACTAATGTAAAAACAAATCAGTAATCCAGGGAAATCATTCAAATCATATCCATAAGTAAGAAGGATCATTTGCAACAACACGAATGTACTTTGAGGGCATATGCTAAGTGAAATAAATCAGACAAAGACAAATATGGTAATCTCACTTATATGTGGAATCTTTTTTTAAAAAAAGCTCTTGGATACCAAGAAAAGATTGGTGGTTGCTGAGGGTTGGGGGTAAAATGGGTGAAAGGAGTCAAAAGGTACAAACTTCCCATTGTAAAATAAGTAAGTCATGAGGATGTGATGTGCAGCATGGCGACTAGAGTTAATAATACTGTATTGCACATTCGAAAGTTGTTAAGGAAATAAATCTTAAAAGTTCTCATTACAAGAAAAAAAATTCTGTTACTATGTATGGTGACAGATGTAACTAGACTTACTGTGTGCAAAGTCTTATTTGTTCACAGTGTGTACAAATATTAAATTGTTATATTGTACACCTGACACTAAGTAATGTTGTATGTAAATTATACCTCAATAAAAAATATAAATTTTCTCACTTTCAAAAAGAAGAAAAGGAACTAATATTTATTGTATTGTGTACCTTCTCTCACTGAACCTTCTTAAAAACCTTTAAGTTAGGCATCAATTTTCCTACAGATGAGAAAATTGAGACCTAGGAGAGTTAAATAACTTGCCTTAGGTCAAAGAGCTAGAAATGGTTGGTAGAAGGAATCACACTAAGCCATGGGACTCTTCTGACTGCATAGCCTACATGGCACAGTGATTAAGCACTTAGGGTTGGGATATAAACAAGTATAGGTTCAAATCCCACCTCTTCTATTAGTGTGTGACCTTAAGGAAATTAGTGCAAGTCTCTGAGCCCAAATGTCCTCATTTCTGAACTAAGGATACAAGTAATACCTAGTTTCTGTGTTTCAGGCAATTACATGAGACAACATATGGAAAGCATTTAACAGTGAGTGACTGTCACATAGAAGGCAACCAAGACAGGTTGGCTGTCCATGTCCCCTGCAGTACAATTGCAGTTATGCATCAGAAACCACCCGAGGGACATGCAAATGATACATGTCTCTTGAAGGGGAACAGAATATTCCACTTTGGGATAAGGATTATTTTGAGCTGAAGGCAATTGAGAATTAACAGATGCAGAAAGAGTTCCCTGCCCTCCCTTTATCCACCCAAAAGCACGGCACCCATTTCCTTTCATGAAAGTGTCCTCTCCTGTACCAGGAGTGGGAGAAGGACTCATCACAGAGATGGAGAGTCACCACTGACATGAGGGCGCACAAACAGTCCTGACCAAAACAACCCTCACTTTCCATTTGTTTTCCCCACATATTTCCAAGTCAGTCACCCAGTTTAGCTCTCCTAGCCCAATCTCCTTTCCTTTGTGAAAATGGTATAAGAGCCCCAGAACTTAACCACTTTTTGAGTTTTACTTCTTTTCTATGAAAAGAAGTAAAGTACCAATAAAAATTATATGCCTTCTCTGTTAGTTACCTGTCATTTCTTAAATTTGTAGCCCCCTGGGTTCTAAGCCTAAGAGGGTAAAGTTATTTCCTTCCTGACACTCTCCATTGAGAAATTTCCAGAGGATAGACAAAGGATTGGGGATGTTTGTCATAGACTGCTCTGCCTGATTTTAGGAATTGTATCTCTACCCCTTGTGGCTAAGGGCAAGAGATGACCTCTGGAATGCCAGCTGCAGGAGACAAAGCTTGTCTCAGGTAGTAAACGCTGCCTCAGTTCCTCTCCCTGCCCCCAAAGCTTGGTTGGAAGTCAATGACAGGTAAGAAACCCTCACAGCAGGGGGCAACCTAAGCCAGACTTGATCACTTGGGAGGCCTTCATGGAAGGACTGGGGCGGGGGGGGGGGGGGCTGCAACAAAGAAAGAGCAATGAACTCTGGAGCGCCTCCCCCCACCCCCACCCCCCCACCCCCGCTTTGACAAAGCCTGAGTCCCCATGTTCTCTGGGAGAAGTGTTTCCTGGCTCTAATCCCCTTGAGCCTGAATACCTGTTGGGGAGAGGTGCAGCTCCTTGCCTTGCTAGAGCGTGTCCTGGGGGAAAATCTGGCATCACAAAGACTTCCTGATAAACCTGTGAAATCTGCTCTGCTAAGAGTGCTTTCATTCATATGATAAGGGTCCAAGAGGAAATGGGTATGTCTCCCAAAGTTTCCGCAACTCTCTTCCTGACAGACACTGACTCAGACTCTGAAACCCTCAGATTTCTTTGATATGTTATCTACTGTTTGATCCTTGCCGCCCTGTATTCCTGTGTATTACCCAATAAAAGGCTATGGAGAAAGGCGCTCGGGGCCTTTTTCTCTCCGGAGAAACTGGCCTCAGCCCACTCCTCCCCTAAACTGATCCAGCATCTCTCGGCCATATTTAGTCATTCACACGTGTCTGTGGCACCAGGGGGACTCTCGAAGAAGTCGCCCCCACAGATGTTGATAGAAAAGATGTAGAGTCAGGATTTTGACATCTTGACTTATCTTTTTTTGATTCAAGTATTGTACAAAAGATAAATAGGCCTCCACCATCTGAGTTTGCCAGTGTAGACAAGCATTCAGCATAAAGGGCAAAGTGCTGAGAATAAAACCACTTCTGAGTTCTGAGAGAATCAGACAATCAGGTCATATAAACAGAGATGGCAGTGAAATATGAATTAGGCACTACCTAGAGTATAATAAGGACAAAGAAATTGAAAAATATGAATAACAACACATCTTATGAAATCTGGAAAGTTAAAAAATTCTTAATGTGTTAAAATGAACCTCAATACATTGAAAATCAACAGATATCATTGGTATCCAAAAAATTACTTTTTAGTGACACTTAGGAGATCCAAAAAGCTTTTTGTTACCTTCTGATAATGCCAGGGAATGGTAGTCTCCACAGGAAACTTGTATTATTTTTTTATCAGTCAAAGTTTTTATCTTCCTATAATAAAAATGATACAAAATCTATTAATCCCTTTTTAGATTGGATTGTCAAGTGAACTACAGATATTTAAAACATCCCAATACATTTGGTGTAGGAAAACAATTTTATGTTCTTATATTTCTTTAGTAGCTTCTTTCCAAAAAGTCTAAACTATTTTTTTAATTTATTAATTTGAGAGAGAGAGACATCACTTTGTTGTTCCACTTTATTATGCATTCATTGGTTGATTCTTGCATGTGCTCTGACTGGGGAGAGAACCAGCAACCTTGGGATATTGGGACAATGCTCTAACCAACTGAGCTACCCAGCCAGAGCAAGCTCTGAACTCGGTATTTCGGAACACTGTTTTAATACAACATCAACATGTACTAAGGTACAGGGCAGAATCCAAAACAATATGTAATATAAAAGTGATTTTTATAGGACTTTTCACATATTATTTAATGTACTAACTTATATACTTATTGGCCTAAAAAAAATTTCTTCATACACATATAGTACAGGACTTTAGATTTTAGAGAGCACTGTCATCTAATCTAAGTTCTATGAGATAAATAAACCATTGGATTGAATTGTCATTTTTGTGGATCAAAACATAACTATCAGCACTTGCATATGATTGAACCTAGGAGAACTCAAAGAAGTCAAATAAGTTTCAAGTTGTAGAACTAGACTCAAACCTTGTTCTTTCCATTCCAAGTTCAATGATCATTCTCCCAAGCCACAGCAATTTCTCACACGATTTAGTAATCACAGGGAATAAAAAGGTAACTTCCTAGTATTAAAAAACATGCTTTCGAACACTTCCAAAGCATGTAATTCATGAACGCAAAATTCAGACTGCTTGTCATAGTATTTGCCCTAGAAAGCTCTTTGTGAGGATATCATTTTTTTCTCCTTTTTACTAAGTAAGATATTAGGACCCAGTGGCTTATAACAAAAAGGTTATGTTGGGTAAAAAACTTTTTCATTTCCAATCTGGGTGCTGAGATTGGGGACCTGCAGTTAATTGACCATAGACAGATTTTCAGGAGAAAAGGGCATGGTTTAGTTATAGTACACATGGGAGCTCCCAGTAATAAAAACTTTGTGGAATAACTTGGGTAAAGGCTTATATATATCAACATAGCAAAAGCTGGGATTGTGGGGTTAGAACTTCCATGGGGGAGTATGGAAGGTTCTCCTGGGCTTTTGGATGCTGACTGGATAGTCTGTCCTCACAGCTGCTGAAGTCACAGGGAACTTCCTGCCAGGATGTTCAGGGGCCGCTGAATTTTAGGAGGCACTGCTTTCAGTCAGGTAGGGAAATTCAGATAAGATTGCTTTCTGCATCTTCAGTATCTCAAATGTTTTCACTTTAAAATAATCTTCATGCCAACTCTGGTAGTCCAAGTGGTATAAAGTTATTTCCAATCGATTAGATTGTGTTCAAAGGGTCACATTTTCTCATTTCTCCAGGCCCGTCTCCATCATACAACTCTAAATAATAATCAGTGTTTTAAGTTTTTTCCTGCCTCCTTTCTCACTGCACTGTAATGGTTGAGGTTAAAGACTGCATTTGTTATGGTCATCTTTGTACCCTGGCATCTTGCATGGTGCCTGGCATGTGGAATTCAAAAATATTGACTGACTGACTGACTGCCTGACTGAATAAATAAATGAATGAGTTGAAATACTTACTTAGGAGTAAAAATTATTTCCTTAAATTCTTCAGTCCCCAGCTGTCCTTCAGAACCAGCTCCCCAGGCAAAGACCCTTCCTTTGTGACAAACAGCCAGGGAGTGCTCCTTCCCGCAGCTCACGAGAACAACCCGTAGAGTTTCCAATGCCCTAATTGGTTCTTTGGGAACAAAAACAAAACCAAACAAAAACCTCACAGACTAATTTAACAGCAAGTTTAAGACAGTACTTATCTTTAAAAAGAAGGGTCATTCAGATTGCTTGTCCCTTCCAACCAGCTTTTAAATCAAGGCCTAAAATCCATGCTAAAGGCGGGAAGGAATTAGCTCATTGTTTGTTATACTGTCTTTATAGAAATATAATATAACTGGTAATCAAAGGGTGAGAACAGTGAAGGTGGGGAACCTGTAGGAACTAGTTCCCTGTAGGAACTAGGATATTTGGACTAGTGTTTTTTTCTACCATCGTGGTAGCGAAACCCAGCAAAATAAAGGGAGCTAGAGAGAAGATGGGATCGACTCCACTCTCCTCTTCTGGACTCCCCCCGCCTTGCACAGTGAGAACAGGGAATTCCTTGCTCAGCAGAAAACAAGCAGGGTGCTCATCTCAAGAGTGTGGAGTGTGAGAGGCAGACACCAGATCTCCTCACAACAAAGAGTGCAGTAATATTTCTCTAAGTGAGCCAAACGTGCGCACAGTGAAAACCTGGTCACATTTCCCCACAAGCCAGTCTAGATTGTTTCCCAAAGTGTTGTCTCTGAATTAGCAAAGGTTTGGAGTTAAGTATGTCATTATCAGTAAAGTTTTAGTTAACACTTAAGTTTTCTTTTAAAAAATCTTTGTGATCTTATCCTTTTCAATGGTTTACTTTCAAACCGTGCAACAGTAAGACATTTCCCAAAGATTTATGCACTCACAGAGGTAGAAACTGGTACCACCTTCCTGAAGAACACTTCAGCATTAAGTGTCATGTTGCCCCTCATTTCTGCCTGAAGGGGATCAGGGTTTGCCACCCAAGAATATGCCACTTTGGCATTAGGATTATTTTGAGCAAAAGGCAATTGAAAAATCGATGGATGAACGGAGAGTTCTCTTCCTTCCCCTTATCCACCTAAAAGAAAGGTGTAAATCTTCCTCGTGGAGGTGTCTCCCGTCTCCTGCACCAGCGAGAGGGACTCTTATCATCAGACCTGGCACTGAGAGAAGTCTGCGGAACTGCCCTTAGTGAAACAGCCTTTGTCCTCCACCAGTTTCCTGCATTACTTCCCCACAACTCATCATCCCTCAAAGCCCACACCCCATATTTTTGTTAAAATTGCAAATGAGCCCCTGGGTCTAACGACTTCTTAAGTTTAACTTCTTTTCTGTGAACTCCTATGCACCAAAAATATTAATGAAATTGTATGGCTTTTCTCTTGTGAATTTGTCTTTGTCAGTTTAGTTTGCAAGTTCTTATGACCTGAATTAAAAGAATAGAGGAGAAATTTTTGCTCCCAGACAGTACTCAAACTTTATTCTGAGTACATAATCAGAAATTTTGTCAAATATTTACCTACAGTAATATTGAACACAGTATTACTTATAAAAGCCCCTCATGAAAAAACGAATTTCCACAAGAGAGCAATTAAATTGTACTCTGAGAACCTAGAATGCAATAATTTAGAATGTATTTTCAAAAATACATAATGAGAGGCAGTTTACAGAATTGCAGAAATGCAGTATACAGAATAAATACTGAGCATATAAACTATATAATGACATGATTTTATAAAAATTAAATATATAATGTAAAGAAGCAAAAAGTTAATGAATCAAAATTGGTGTTGGAATTATAGGCAATTTCTTCCCCTGTGTTACTACAATAATTAGTAATGGTAAAAAATGCTACTTTGTACATTTTTTAATATTAAGAAAAAAGGGGTCCTAGGGTATTTCTGAGGGAGTTACAAGTGCAAAACCCACAAACCACATTTAAAAGGTCACTGTTTCGGAGATTCGCCGCGGGCAAGGATTAAAAGGCAAGTGGGAAGGGCCACATCGCTGTTCGGTGACAGCGGTCCTGTTTAGTTGCACACACAGTTCCTCTTTCAGTTTTTCTTTGAAGAATTGGAAAGCGAAACTAACCCAAGGATTGTGGGAAAGCGAAACTGCAGAGTTGCGCTCGGACGGCGCGAAGCGCGGGTTCGCGTCAACTGTGGCCCCGAGGACCCAAGGCTCCCAGCGCCCCCACCTGCCTGGCGCCTTGTCCCGCACCACCGTCCCGCGCTCACCTGAACGGTCACCACGCAGCACACCCCTCCGGCCCAGCTGGCCCCGGCTGTTGTCCCCGCACGAGTGGACCGTGCCGTCGCTCAGCAGTAGCAGCGAGTGGCGCTCCCCGCAGGCTGCCTGCTGCAGGTCGGCACCCCGCGCCGGCGCCTGGCGCTGCAGCCTCCCATGGCCCGCACCCCAGCAGAAGTACATCCCGCTCTCGTGCCCCGCCGCCCGCTCGAGCCCGGCTGCTCAGTCTCCGCCGGCTCCCGAAGACTAGTGACAGGCGGTGGGATGCGTCGGTCCCACCCCGGCCTCACCCTGCGGTGGACCTTCCCCACAAGGACAGCCCTGGCACCCTACGTCATCCGGACACCTCCCCGCTTATGACTTTCGGGGCGAATACTTAAGGCCAGGAGCGCCAAGTGCTGAGGAGCAGCAGAGAGCAACTCCGGAGGCAGAGCACCTCGAGTTACATCCTAGTGAGCCACTCATGAGCCGTGTGACATCGGGCAAGTGACTTCATGATTCTGTGCCTCACCGACCATGTCTATGAAATGTGGACAGTAATACAGCTAGTCTAATATGCTAGGACAGCTTAATATATAATTAATAATGTGTTAGAATAATTCCTGAAGGGGATCAGGGTTTAGAATGTTAGAATAATGCTTAATGAAAGCATCTAAGTGTCAACCCTCTTGAAGGCCATTTTTGGCAATGGAAATGCAAAATCATGCTTACAAAATGGTGCTTACATTTTCCTATTTATAAATAGATAATTAAATACTTAGCATAAGGTCAGGGGGCAACATGAAGAAAAATAAAACAGTAAAGGAATGGGGGGGACCAAAGGAGCTATTATTTTTGATAAAATACCAAGGAAGATAGGAAGTGACATTTGAGCAGAGAAAGAGGGAACTTGGGAAATGCAAACATGAGTCATGCTGTCATCCAAGGGCAGAGGTTTCAGGGGAGCAATAGAAAGGCTTTGAACAGAGAAGTGATATGATCTGACTTCAGTTTTAAAAGAAGCGTTTTGGCTGCTGTGTAGGAGATAATGGAACAAACGTGGAAGCAGAAAAGCCACTAGAGGCTGCTGTAGGAGTCCAGGTCACAAGGATGATGCTGGCCCTAAGGTGATATCCTAGTGGGAGGAGAGAAGAAACGATTAGGATCACGTTCAAAATGTTTTTAAAGTCAGAGTCCACAGACTTGCTGATGGACTGGAAATGTGAGGAAATAAGGGGGAAAATTAGGGTTTCTGCAAGGGAAGCTTGAACAAGTGGGTGACCAGTGAGGTACCCTGAGGGAGGTGCAGTTTGGGGCTGGAGGATCAGGACTCCAGTCTGGTGATGACTGAGAAATGCTTGGTATGAAAGGAGGAAATAAGATAACTATTTAGAGTTGTGGAGAGAAATCAGGGTGGAGTCATAGGGCTGGCAGTCCTCAGTGTAGAGATGATACTTAAAGTCAGGTGGTTGACTGAGGTCGTCCAGGGGGTTGAGTATGGCTCATATATAACAGAGAACTAATCTAGGACGAAAATCAAGAGGGCTGGTGTGCACAAAACAAGTAAAGAATAAGGGAATGATAACTCTGTCAATCGTTTGTCCAGCAGGTTAATCTTTAGGTTTGGCAAAATGAAGGTCATTAGTGCCTGACAATGTTACCCATTGTCAGCATTATTATTTTTACTTTTATAGTAGCCATTTATATACTCTCAACTCACCTCTCTTTACTACTACATTTTAAGTTCCCTGAAGATGAGAATAAATGTTGTTTGTTTTTATTTGTTTTTTATTCTCAAGAGTGCCAGGCATATGGTAGATGCTAATAGGTAGGTTTTAGGCAAATGGCTTGATGCGTGGTAAGCAATTGAATAGCCTTCATACTTCTGGCTCCATTTTACAGTATACCATTTACTACCTACCTTTTTCTATTGCCTATAGTAAAAGTAATACCTTTACTATTGCCTACCATTTAGGAATAGTAATTTCCTAAATGTTTATTACTTTCTTTAGTCATAAACTGTGAGGATTTGATATTATCAGCCTAAGACACTGAGCCCTTATATTATTTCTTAAGAAAAATTTTACTGAACTAAAATGTATTATGCTCATTATGTATCCCTACCACCTGGTACAGTGTCTACCACATTCAAAGAATTCATTAAATGTTAGCGAGTTGAGTAAATAAAACACAAATTAAAGAAATTGTGCTGTTATTGCTTAAGAAAGATAAAATTATCCATTTGTGTTTATGCACTTGGAAATAGTAGCTCCCATTTATTCAATGTTTACCATATGTTGACTATTTTGGATGCCTCCATCTTGGAGGTGTCCAAATAGGTGGAAACACTGTGCCTCCTTGCACAACCAAAATTAAGGACAACAAAGATTTAGAAACAAAAACACAACCAGAACAGACAGAAAATTGAACTGTACGGAAGTTTGATAACCATTCATCCAGACCAGTAGGAGGGGCGGAGTCTGCAGTGGGCACAGAGGGGTTGCTGCAGGAAAAAGCAGTGGCTGGCAGAGCCTGGTGCACAGGTAGCATGGGGCTAGCCGGCCCCAGGGAGGAAACAAGCAGACCCAGTGAGGCACACAAGACCACTGGCTAACTGCAGTCACACATTCGCACGCAGATAAACCAGGCAGAAACGGGCAGCGAGACAGACCTTGCAACCCAGGGCCCCGGCGTTGGGAAATAAAGCCTAAAAGCTCCAATTGAAAACACTTGTGGGGGCTGAGGTGCCAGGAGAGACTCCCAACCTCACAGGATAATTCGTTGGAGAGACCCACAGGGTCCTAGAACGTACACAAGCCCACCCACCCAGGAACCAGCACCAGAAGGGCCCAATTTGCTTGTGGGAAGCAGCAGAAGGGACTGAAATCTGAGAGTGGAGCAAGCCCCATTGTTCCCTCTCTGACCCCCCCTTAACATACAGCGTCACAATCCAGCAACTGGGTTCCCCGCCCTGGGAACAGCTAAGGCTCCGCCCCTCACTACATAACAGGTGCAACAAGACCAAAAAAATCATGGCCCAAACAGAAAAACAGCTCAAAGACCAAGAGCCAATACTTTTAAGCAACCAAGAGATATCCAACCTATCAGATGCACAGTTCAAAGCACTGGTGATCAGGATGCTCACAGAACTGGTTGATTTAGGTCAAAACTTAGAGAAACAAGTGAAGGCTACACTAAGTGAGATGAAGCAAAACACACAGGGAACCAATAGTGATGGAAAGAAAACTGGGACTCAAGTCAATGGAGTGGACCAGAAGGAAGAAAGAAACATTCAACCAGAACAGAATGAAGAAACAAGAATTCAAAAAAATGAGGAGAGGCTGAGGAACCGCCAGGACATCTTTAAACATTCCAACACCCAAATTATAGGGGTACCAGAAGGGGAAGAGGAAAAGCAACAAGTGGAAAACTTGTTTGAACAAACAATAAGGGAGAACTTCCTCAATCTGTCAAAGGAAGTAGACTTCCAGGAAGTCTAGGAAGCTCAGAGAATCCCAAAGAAGGTGGACCTAAGGAGGAACATACCAAGGCACATCATAATTACATTACCCAAGATTAAAATGAAGGAAAGAATTCTAGAAGCAGCAAGAGATAAGGGGACAGTTACCTACAAAGGAGTTCCCATCAGACTGTTAGCTGATTTCTCAAAAGAGATCTTACAGGCAAAAAGGGGCTGGAAGGAAGTATTCCAAGTCATGAAAAGCAAGGACCTACATCCAAGATTGCTCTATGCAGCAAAGCTTTCATTTAGAATGGAAGGGCGGATAAAGTGCTTCTCAGATAAGGTCAAGTTAAAGGAATTCATCATCACCAAGCTCTTAAATATGAAATGTTAAAGGAACTTATCTAAGAAAAAGGAGCTTAAAAATATGAACAGTTAATGGACAGCAAACACACAGTTATTAACAACCGCACCTAAAACAAAAGCAAGCTAAGGGGACAGCTAGATCAGGAGCGGAACCATAGAAATGAAGATCACGTGGAGGGTTAGCAACAGGGGAGTGGGAGTCGGAGAAGTGGGGGAGAAGGTACAGAGAATAAGCAGCATAGATGGTTAGGAGAAAATAGATAGGGGGGAGGGCAAGAGTAGTGTGGGAAATGTAGAAGCTAAAGAACTTATGACACATGGACATGAACTATAGGGGGGAATGTGGGTAGGAGGGTTGTGCAGGGTGGAGGGGAATGAAGGGGGGCAATGGGACAACTGTAATGGCATAATCAATAAAGTATGTTATAAAAATAAATAAAATATCTAATTTAATTATTCCACCTGCTTTTCTTAGTTAAGATAGGTTCAGTTGCAAGTGACAAAATAATATGACCTAAGCTCATTTAAGCAAAAGGGAAATTTACTGATAGATTGCATTGTTTTTCAAAAATATTTGCTGCCGCTATCCTCCCTATGGCTTCAAGCTTGAGCATGTGAATTTGTTCTGGCCAGTGACATGCAAGTAGGAAGTGTCTCCCAGGCAGATGGTTTAAGGACCATTACTTCTTTTCCCTTCTCTCCACTCTATTACAGCTACTGGTGATTATCCAGATAGAGATTACTCCATCATCCTGGGTCCCAGATTAAAAACAATAATTTAGCAAAGTTGCAGCTAATCTATGTAGCAAGAGTGAGAAGTGAATCTTTGTTGTTGCCAGGCCCTGAGATTGGGGTGGGGGTGGTTTATTATTACACAGATAGCATAAATTAGCCTCTTTTGACAGTCACATGTCAGCATGGCTGATTCCAGGAATTGCTTCCTGTAATAAGGACTTACTATCCTAACGACTCCATTTCTCCATATTACTTTACTCTGCCTCTTATTATGAAGGCTTCGTGTTCAGGCTTCTGTACTCCATGGTTCCAGAATCTCCTCTGAGGTGGCAAGTTTAGCTGTGATGCCTTCAGTGCCCCAGTTTGGGTCACATGCCTACCCCTGAGCCAGTCATTGTGGATGCCAGAAGATGGAGTCAGTCACCTGGCAGACCTCTCTGCAAGGTGGGGATGGATTCACCCATGCACAGGTTCTGAGAGGATGGGTAGTCAGACTCCCAGATGAAAGCTGGGCCTGTTGCTGGAAGAGGTAAGGGGTGTATGCTAAGGACATAAGCAACATGCATCTTCTACATCAGTCATGTAGAATAAGTACTAATGTAATTTTCATTTTGTGGGATGGAATCAAAGGTCAGAGACTCTTGGTAACTTGCTTGAAGTTCCATGGCAGGTAAATGGCAGAATTTTAACATTAATCAATTTGACTAGGAAGCCTAATTAATTTGCTCTTTTTAAAACAGGTTTTATTTATTTATTTTTAGAGAAGGGGAAGATAAGCAGTAAGGGAGGGAGAGAAACATTGATG